TGGTGATGGTGGCGGCGGCGGCGGCGGTGGCGGGGGTGTTGGTGGTGTTGGTGGTGGCGGTGGTGGCGGCAGCGCGCGGTGGCGGCGGCAATGGCGATGGGGGTGCAATGATGACGACAACAGTGACCACAGAATTCGCACCTGTGGCGGATAGTATGACAAGCTGACATGAATCGACCGATGCTGATGCAGCCGAAATGCTGATGATTGTGATGATGATTCCAAGACCCCTTTCATATGTTGCTGTATCAGTTCTGCCCCCTCCCTCTCTTTTCAGGACCGCCAGATTCATGTGACGCTTAACTGCCCTCCGTCTGCGACAGAATTGCGAGCTCGGAAAGTTCACTTCCTACAGCCTCGCTTGCGTCAACTGTCCTGACAAAAACTAGGTTAATCGCTACCAGCGTAAAGCTTGCCGGGCTTCCTCTGGCGCTGTCTCCTCAACTTGCTCCGAGGACATTGCTTCGGCCTGGGCCAGCCGCTCTTTTCAAGCGTTTGCATCAACAACATGTTGCTGAACAGCGGCATGTGGAGGCTTTTTACAGCTCGCAGGACTGTCCCCGCAAAGCTGATGATTGTGGCATGGTTATCATTGATTTCTTCTTGGAATCGCTCAAGGCAATTTGCTGCTGAGTGTCTGCGGCTCCGTCAATTTCTCCTTAGCACAAGGGCTGGTAGCCGTATTTGCAACCCCTAGTGCAGTGCATGCACAAACTGAATTTAATGATCGTGTCAACGAGAATGAACAGCATTGGCATGCTGCTGGAGCTAAAGAGCTTGCTTGATCTTTGCAACCATGCTGCCGCTCGCGCCGCCCTCGCTCACATCGGCTTGAAGCCTTCAACTGCTGAGAACCGACTGGGGTTGGAACAATGGACCTTCTTCTATGCATAGCACATACGCAAAACTTAGCAACTAGCTCAGGCAATCGACAAGAAGGTACACCCTGTCAAGCTTAGTGCAGAAGGCAGACAGAAACTCAAAAAATGCAGCTATGCTGCAAATGCTAGCACACAGTGGCACACAGCATGCAAAGCAAGCAAATCGGACCAAAGAGCGAGCTTTCTGCCGGTGTCGAGTCATCCAAGTTTATGGCCTGCAATCCATGGCGAGCCTTAGATTGCTGCAGGGTTGAACACATTGACAATGGACTGCCAATCAGCTGCCTCGCTCTGCTCCGGAGTAGGCAAAGCCCCAGGTGAAGATGCAGACTTTCCGAAGACGAGTACCACGCCTAGCGCGGCCTCGGAAACAAGTGATTGCTTAGATAAAGTGTGGTCGCACAGGAGATCACAGGAGGGTTTCTACTACCTGTTGTCAGGCATGAGATGGGGCCAGCACTATCACTAGTGCCGACGCGACGGCCCGTCGACGCACCTGCCCGATCACGCTGGGTGCAAACAAGCGCAAGCCATCATATGATACAAGCAAGGTTCAGTTGAAACATCCAGAACACTGGACCTCTGCCTTTGGAAGCGCGTCCCTGCCCACCTCAGCCGTGTGCAGAAAGAAGCCTTTAAAATTCGTCTCTCAGCAAGGACCGCAAGTTGTTCCCCAGACTGCCTGTCGACCGTCGTCTGGGCTGGATGCCTGACAGTCTGACGTTGAATGGGCTTGCACGTGAGCTCAAGCACAAGCTAATATTGTTGGCTGCTAGGCATGAGCGGGCTCCTACTACAAACATAGCAACCAACATACAGAAGGCCTCGACGTCAGTTTCAGAACCTCAGCGTACATTGCCACTTTCACAGTGATCGCGTTTCTGACAGCATGTGATGCCCACCACCTCAGTTTGCTGTGTGGATGGCCTGCGGCAAATGATTTCAGCATGCGCTGAGGTCGGGTCTCAAAATCGGAACTTGGTCAAGCCCTATTGCCATGTGAAGCACCTGAGCATTTGCAGCGCTGGCTATATCAAAGGGAGCCGGATCTTCCTTTCAATGCTGCAGCAATCAGCAGTACCAGCCACCAAAGTTCTACTGACGCAGCCAGGCTGCAAAACCGCGCGATTTGTGCTGCGAAAAGCCTCTAAAGCGTGCTTGGGCCTTACAATGCCACTGACATGACATGCGTGTGGCCTCTGTACTTAATTTATACCATGACAAAAATCATTCTCTTCACCTACAAAATTGTGATCAACAACTTCCTGAGCCACACTCTGTGGTTACGTCAAACCATGCTGTTCTTAAGATGTGCACGATAGTCTACGATAGTTCATCCCCATCTGGAATCCTGCCATTCATACTCAGCAACAGCATTCAAAGAGCAAGCCTGCACAAGCGAAATCTTGGGCACCTCACAACATAGTCGACCTTCCCAATCCTTCCCAATTTTCAGGCAGCTACATACGAGTCAATAAGCCCCCTCAAACCTTGAACCCTTAAACCCCTCCTAATTCCCTAAATTACCAGCAAGGCCTGAAGCGAATGTCAGCCACAGTCTTAAGCCACACACACTTTCGAATTTGGGGAGGAATGGAAGGCAAACTCTTCTTGGGAAAACTGCAACCTTTAGCGGTCTGTACTGTCCAGATCTGTCTAAACCTTCCATCAACCCCAAGAAGACCACACAAATGTCGCCCGTCACAGCAACTGATTAAAGTCCACGGATGATTTGTCGCTTGACATGAAAGGTGCAACCAAGACAACGAAGAGCACTGTTCATGCCCTGCCGGAGGGCTGCTCATTGTGCCTGCATTTCATACGCACAAAACCCTGCGTTTGGGGAGGATGCCAAATGTTTCGGGGTATGAACACCATCATCTAGGTTGGCATAACGGGCCCGCAGCGCTTTTCTCTAAGACGCAGCGCGGCATGCTCTTCTAAGAGAACAGCCTTTCGCAAATCGAAAAGCCGTAAAGTATAGCATCCGCTGCCAGCGCATCGAGCGCAGTGGCTAGATGAAAGTCCCTGCTGCAAGAAGACTGATGGCTCATGGCTTCGACACTTACCAATCAGTCCTCAACTAGCATGCCTGAGCCTTGTGAGTACGTTCTTTGCACAAGTTTGAATGTTTGTTGAATGTTGTCCAATTATGTTACAAGCTATGTTCATTGTCTGAAGGCCGGAAGATGCCTCAAGAGACTCGTCTGAGCTCATTCACGCCCCTGCTATCGCGGCTCTACTCCGAATCTGAGCATGTGCCAGGAATCTTTGATTTGTCGTCCTGTTGGAGACGTGAAGATGCCTGCCAGGTTGCGCCCTTTCTCCTCTCGACAGCTCATCCAGTTTCATCCCCGCGCCTTCTCATAGCCGTGGGCCACCACACGCAGCGGCATGCCTCATTGCAGTCAGATCGGCTGAAGCATGTGAGGTTGCGACAGAAGGGGGCTTGTCAGGGGCATCCTTACAAGAGCATTCAATTTGCAACAAACACAAAATGCTGAATTCAGGCACAAAGGGCTGGCTCCCCGCAGCAGCCCAATCTTTAGCCTTTCGCAGTTCCATGGCATGACTACGCATTCTTGCACCTGCCTGAGATCACATCGTTCAACATTAGCCTCTGAAACAACTGCCAACATACATTGCTTGTTGGCACCAGCTCAGACAGCCTGTCGGGGTAGTGCTGGCATTGAAGGCTAGCCACCACCACGGCGTTCCATACATCACGCGCGAAATGGTGGCCTAGCACTCTTGCGAGCAGCACTCATGCTGATGTCCAAGCTTGAAAGCTTTGACGACATCCCCTTAGATATTTCTGCGGCAATCCCCAAGTAGTCACGCTTCCAGAAACATTGTAGAATATGCAACTCAGCACGTCCAAGGGGCAGTTGTGATATGCTGTATCGTAAGCACAGCTGGCTTTCATCTCAGCCACGTCCCGCAGCTCTGCAGACGTCAGTTTGGGCTTCCTGCCAACGGCTCGCAAGGCAGCATGACCCGCTTCTGCTCGCTTCTGCTCCACTGCGCATTCAAAGCCGAGTGGCAAGCTGTCAGCCCGAGCCACTCTGTCTTTGTAAATGGTGCCCGCGGTCGGTTCTTGGCCTTCGCAAACATGAAAGGTCACATCAGGCCAGGACGATGGCTAAGCACTACAGTCACTACAGGCCTGGCCAAAACCAGGAGACCAATGCATCGGAGCCTTCAAAGCGCTGAACGCGCATGGTGCGGCCGTCTTCCAGCAAGGCATGCAGAAAGGAGTGCGAGGTCCAGCCGCTGTGCTCCGGTCGCCGTTCTTTGCGCCACTCCAGCTGGCACACAGCTGCTGGCTTCTGCAGATCCAAATCTTTTTTCTTTGAGCACAAGCCACAGCCAGCGCCATCACAAGCCAGACATGCAGCTGGCTGAGTTGGCTGCATACCCTCCACGCTCAGTTCAAACTTGAAGCTGTCCGATCCACCACCATTGGTGGCTGTGACAGAATACAGAACATTCTCAGCCGCTACAGCAGCAGACCCAAAAATGCAGCCACTTTCCTCATCAATCCAGATTCCATCAGGCAATGCTGGTTGGACTGACCAGTGGCAAGCACCACCCGCAATTTTTGGCAGCCAGCAGATCCTAGCAGCTCTCCAGGGTGGGACAATCACAAGAGTAAAGCTTCAAGATCCTTCAAGGCTGCCACAACTGTTGGCCGGGTAACTTCTGGCCAACCATGCAACGCACAGTCTCACCAGGTATACCGGCATACCTTGGCCATACTGCCAGACTGCAGACAGAGCTCATTGAGTCGGTGTTCCTTCCGCATCTTCTTTTGGCATGGAATCTACTCTGCGAATTGCCTGCAAAGCTGTATGCTTCTACTGTACCAGCAGGGCACGCAATTATGACGCTTTGCTTGTGTTTAGCTTCTTGCTGAACTCGAGGCACTTCATGATCTTCGGGGGCAAGCTTCTCCCACTGAAGTTCACCTCGGCACCTGAAATGCAGGAGAGAACGCGTTGCCTCACTGCGAAGCTCAACCTGGAATTCAATTAGGCGGCAGCAGCAGCAGCAGCAGCAGCAGCAGGATGGATAAAGAAGCTGTGCTGACAAGGAGCAGGTCATGCCCGCTGCATTCGAGGCAATGATGGTATACGACTGCGCCCAGACGTCGTCCTCCACAGCAAATTGAGCCAAGGTCGCTGAGCGCGATATGAAATGAACCGGCCTGGCCTCCGGGTCTTCCACAGTGCCGGCAATCTCTCCTGAAGTTCTGTCCAGCTTCCTGGGAACATCACTGCGCGACAGAAAAGGAAATCCCAGGATTCATAGTTGGGGTAAAGGGGTTCCCAGTGCATTCAGGGCCACAGCTGCAACTTTGGACTCATGCAGCTAAAACATTGTGCTGTTTCCATGGCAAGCTTCAAACAGGAAGGCAAGGCTGGTGTGGACATAAAGCGCGCAGTGGCTTTGTTGCAGCCTGCCAGCCCACGCCCCAACACGTTGTGGGAGCACAAAAAGATTGCATCCTGCCGGCAGTTCGGAAATGAACTTTGCTCCGCCTTTCAAAGTTGGCTCCAGCTGGATGCGCTCCAGTGGCCAGGTTCCGAGGCCCTCGTAAACCAGATCTGTCGGTGGGGTCATCTCCAGGAGCCAAACCTTGAAGCTGCCTGGTCCACTGGCAGCAACAGATCTGCATGGCCCATGCAGAAATCCAGCCCGTGCCGGCCTATGTCCTGAAGGACCGCCTTGGCAGTTTCGAGGCCTGCTTGCAGTTCTGCACGTCGAGGATCTTGCGCATGCTCCTGCAGAAGATGCGGCGCAAAGCGTGCAACTTCCAAAGAAGAGCTGCGGGGAGCTGCCGTTCGAAGCTTTGCATAGCAGCAAGCGGAGCGAGCCTCGGAGAGCTGGACCCGATCTAAGGCGTTTTGGTAGCGCCAGAAATACCTCGGAGGTCTTTGAGCTCTTTGAGGTATGAACTGTGTGAACTTCTGCACTTTATGTCAAATCCACCGTGCGGTCGGCACCGATGCTCACGGCAAACGACAACTGCGGGGCTTGCCGCTGGAAGCATACGCAATCAGAACCAACATGTCTGGCTAGAAACAGTACTTAGTCTCCACCTGACATGCCTGAACTATGTTGCATCGCGGCACTCACAGGAGCCACCGAAGACGTCCTCCAACAGCGAGCGATCGCCCCTGGCCTGGGCTTGTCAGGCTAAGGCGAGCCGATCATCAGTGAACAACACCAACAAATCATGGCAAACTCAGAGAAAAGAATCGAACCACCCCTAGAAGGACAGAAGTCAATGTGCGTGTGGCGGGGTGCGAAAGGAATCAGGTTGTCAAGGTCCACGAACACAAGTGTACGGCCAAGCTGCGGCCTTGGAGAGAAGATCGCGAGCCGCTCCAAGCTCCTTTAGGCTGCTGGAAAGCGGGCAAAAAAACGTGACAGGACAAACCTCCCTGTTGGCCTTCAGGACTTCCGTCTCTGCAGCCTTCCGTCTGACGCCCGCAGCCTGGGCAACGCTCGCGGCCAGTCTGAAAGGACTCATTTCATATGTCAGGGGTTCTGCACAAAAACTGGCTCTTGAAGGGAGGCGGCTTTGAAGTAAGTAAGGACCAGCACAGCCATGTGGCAGCTCGGGAGGCATTCTGAAGGCTGTGCTCGAGTCTCACAAGCAGATCTTCAGCTTCCGCCCGAGTGTAGGACATGGCCAGGATTCACGTGAGGGTCATCCAAGCAAGACTCCGAACGATGGAGGTCTTCAGATTTCAGAAGTAGTATGGACTTTAGAAGCACCTGTTCGCAAGACCATGTCAGCTTTGCAAGATGAATCCCACACAACAACCCACCTTTCACACTGCTACTTCCTGCAAGGTTTCCGTGCATTCTGTGCAGATGCAGCTCAGCCCAGACAGCTGCAAAATTGAAGCCGCAAGGTCTGTAAGAATGGCAAATCATGTGCCAGCGCAGTCGATTTGCAGCAGGAATGTGCTCGCTTTTAAGTGTAATTCTGGAATGTTCTGGGACGGGAATTGGCTGGATGTCTTCCTTTAACGGCTCAAGGCCTTTAACACTTGGCCAGTCTTGGCAAACAGATGCAGACAAGGCTGTATAGCGTCCCGGCTGCTTGCACAAGGCCATTCAACGCTGGCGGTCGAATCTTTTGACTCCCAACGCGGAACCGACAGCGGTCTGGACAGCGGGGCGGCGTGGTGTGGCGCTGGCGTCCGTAGAAAGCTCAAGTGTCGAAGAGGCCGCAAACGTTCCTGCCAACAAGAGCACAAGGAGCCAAAAAGAAAACTTGAGGTGCACTGAAGCTACTGTAGCTCCTGCCAAGCAATGTACATATCAAGCAGACATTCTGCACAGGCTGGATGCTTACTGCTGCATGCCCCGAAACCTGTCCTCCTGGTGGTGAGCCTGAGAAGCGTGTTGTAGAAACGTCGCTTGTGGAAGTGGAAGTAGTTGCGTCGGGATGATTGGGATAGCTATCCCCGCTGCCTGAGCCAGTGAAAACTACCACAACTGCCGCACTTCGTGAAATCACTGAAACTTGTGCGTGTGCGCACATGATCACACATGGCATTTCGGCAGAATTGTGCAACGTTCGGCCCAAGAAGGGATTCAAAAGAGGTCACACGGTCAAGGACACGTGCAAAATCATGGAGTGGGGCTATGTTTGCTCATTCTTTATTATTCCCCCATTCAGTGCGGGCGTTTAATTGCTAGATGTGCCTCGCCCGCACCCCGACCACGTGCTCTTCCGTCGCGCAAACATTTGGGACGTGCTCATGTTCGTTCAAAAATTGCGCATCCTAAAAACATGTCGTTTTTCTATCGATTTTCGATCAAAAAAATACAAGCCCTGGCCTTTAACGTGCTCTTGGTACGGGGGTCGATTACCGAACTGGTCGTGCTCCAGATTTCTGAAAATCGCGCTCCCGCGCGTGACATCCTCAAAATTTCACATTTTTCGGACTTTATAGATTATCAAAAATTGCGCTCCCGCGCGAGACAATTCGATTTTTGTTGACGTTTGGATGATCTTCGTATCTTCAAAAATCGCGCTCCCGCTCGAGACATCCTCAAAATTTCGTCGATTTACCTTCATCAAAATCGATCAAAATTGCGCTCCCGTGCGGAGCATTCGGAAAATTTTGATCATTGATGAACGATGATGTCGAGGGTTTCTATACCAATCCTATACCAAATTAACGTCGTTCGAGGTGGCTCTCTTGGCTTAAGAGGGGGGTATCTGGGGAGCTTTCCGGTATAGGATTGGTATAGGATTCATCGGCATCGTCAACGTTTTGATCATTTTCGTATCTTCAAAAATCGCGCTCCCGCTCGAGACATCATCGAAATTTCGTCGATTTACCTTCATCAAAATCGATCAAAATTGCGCTCCCGTGCGGAGCATTCAGAAAATTTTGATTATTGATGAACGATGATGTCGAGGGTTTCTATACCAATCCTATACCAAACGAACGTCGTTCGAGGTGGCTTTCTTGGCTTAAGAGGGAGGTATTGGCGGAGCTTTCCGGTATAGGATTGGTACAGGATTCGTCGGCATCGTCGTTCAAAATTTGATCATTGACGGGATGGACCCTATACCAATTTTATACCAAAATGCTCCGCTCAAGGTCGTCTTGTTTTGAAGAAAATCGCGCTCCCGTGCGGAGCGTCCTGAAAATTTTGAAGGGGACTGGAACTGGGGATTTTATGTGATTGGCGAACTTATACGAGCATGGCGATCAAAATTACCCCAGTAGGGTGTGCTGCCACCGGCCTGGTGCCATGCCAGCGCAACACGTGAA